TTTTTTTTTTTTTTTTTTTTTTTGAGGTTTTCTTTGTTGTTGCTCTACGTAGCCCGCAACCCGCAGCGTGTTCAAGTTAGGGCAGGACTGCAAGGCCATATTATTTGTCATGGGTTCTATTTTTTAAATTTGAATCCGCAAAGTGAAATAAACATGTCAATTCGTACAGAACGACTGAGAAAAATTAACGAGCAAGGAAATCAATGACAATAGAAATAAACCGAGCAAATTGTTAAAATTAAACATAAAAAATACATCGGCGACCAAAGAGCTTGGCGGGTTTCTCCACCCACATCACTCATGATCATTCGACATGTAGTCTATCGTCGAGTTTTTTTCCGGTTTTCAATATTTTTTCAATCTCTCATATCGGCTCACGAATATTATTTACTCAGCAACAAGTTATACCTCATTCGCAATTAACTCTGGCTAAAGGTAAGGTAAAAGAGCGAGATTCGAAGTTTTTGAAATTACTGAATTACGATATTTGTATTCCGCGCTTCATTTGGTCAGCGGTTCACTTCTGGAAACCATTACCAAATCTTGGAAGTTTGCCCGTTTCACTTCTTTGCATTGCCTGCCAGGGATAGATTTGTTTTGTACCACTTCCAACCTGCTGCCCAGCCATGAACAAGCCGCAAGCAGGGAGCATAAAAATTAAAGCTAAACGACTGTCCATACGGCGCACTCGCTCGCCAAACAGAATGGGATCGGAGGCGATACGCCAAGAAGCTTACGATCAAGACCGGGAGAGCTCGCTGCCACCAAACCTCCGTTCAAGATTGTGGTCACTTTTTGCTCAGATAGAAAGAGAATTCGAGTGTGTACATGCCGAGAACCTTGCTTGTAAGTACACCAAGATTTTCTATCTTGTATGTATCTGAGTTCCTTTGATAAAATTATAAATTAGTCCCCGTACTTTCTGCCAAAAGGTAAGCTTACAATAACTCCTCCTCCAGCATCCAAACTATTTCAGACTAGTTTACATTAATCAGGAATTCGTTTTATTCTCCTTCAATCTGTTCCTCCTTATATGCTGGATCTTAGATCCATTTTATTTATTGTTCGTGTAATTAGGACAGGTACAATATGCAAATACTACCAAACGTGGCTGTTGTTATTGGTTTATTTTCGGATTTCATAGATTTACAGTAAACATAAGCTTATTGTTTTAAGTTTACTTTTTCATCAACTTTGGAGACTAATACCGTTTGTGTCACATTTTCAAGAATTGCTTGGTAATAGCTTAAAGAGACTTGCAGCTGACGCATGTACAGTGACGTCTAATAGCTTTTGCTATTATCCGAGCAACACTCATCAAAAATTAAATCTGTGTCAAGGAGGAGTAAATTACATAAATGTGCAAATTACTATAAAAATCTTATGTAATTTGCACCCTTCATTACCACTCAGGTGTAAAATTTCAGATGTAATGATCAAACCGTGTGGAACTTGCCATTTATTATGACACTGAATGAACATTTTCAAAACAGCTCTGTACACAAATGTGGGTACCTTAATAATGGTACATTCATTTGTGCTCTGACAGGGCATGCGTGACGTTTGAGAGCTCTGAATTTATATCAAAATTCACCATGAAATGATAAATACCAAAACTGAATGTAGTGAATTGGGCACATTTTTTCCCCCTCAATGTCTGGCAATAAATTAAATGTCATATCACTAGACAGTGTCTTAAAACAATGGAGGATCATTTGATATTTACCAGATGACACTAGAAGTTCATTAGATCTGATCCTAAGTTATTTAAGTAACAGATGTGACCACCTGTTTTGAGGTTTTGTAACTTACAAATTATGTACTGGATCAATCGAAGACATGTATTTAGCGGTCGAGTCATAGAAATGGATATTACATGGCTTTTATGAAAAAAAAAAAAAAAATTAAGCCAAGATATCTATGAGTTTACTGTAGTAAAGTTACTATATGGTAAATAGCTTTGACCAATCAGAGCTGGACAATGATTGGAAAAAAAGGATTATATTTAACTATGTTGATCAATATGTTATATCACCAACATGTCAGTTATTAATTTATATCAAATATTCACCAACATATTTTGAATGTATGTCTATAGTACTAGAGAGAGTTGAAACTTTGAATGAAAAGTTGGACCTTGTTCTCAGTGGTGGAGAAAAGCTGACAGATGGAGAACTATCAGCTGAAGGTGGTCCTACTAAGCCTGGATATGGCAAAAAACCATGTAAGCTTCTCATTCATAGGTTATGAATGAATGAATAAATGAATGAATGCATGCATGCATGCATGCATGCGTGAATGAATGAATGAATGAATGAATCGATTGAATGAATGAATGAATGAATGAATGAATGAATGAACGAACGAATACATGGACGGACGGACGGATGGACGGACGGACGGATGGATGGACGGACGGATCGATGGACGGATGGATGGATGGATGGACGAACCAACAAAATGTTCAAAAGAACATTATTACCCACATAATAAAACAATTAAACACTGGTTTATATTGAAACCACCATGTTGACAGATCTTAAATTTAGACTTTACAAACTTTACTTAGTATCAATAAATATTACATAATGAAGGTTTGAAAGTAGTTCTTGAAACCTACATTTGCATGTATGTGTCATACACTTATGGGTTATTGAGCAAACCTAAGGTTGAGATGGCTGTAAATTGGCCAAGTTCTTTTTTTAGGCATGTTTATGACAGAGTCAAGGTCCATAAACTTGCATAAAAAGAACAAGTCATCTTGACCGAACAAGCTTGGTCAACAAAGGATTTATTATAACAATGGCTTTTGGGTAAATTTTTCTCGTGGGACACAGTGGGTAGTCCCGAGTGTGTAAAATAGCGCCATCTTGTTCGCTCAGGTAGCCAATCACAGTGCAGGATTTGGTTCATCTTGCCTGCTCATGGAGCTAGCAATATAATAAAATGTTATTATGGAAAAAAGCATGTTGCTAGAAGTGAAAGCAACTGTGTTTTCGAAAGTCTCATTAACACTTATTGCTTGTTATTTTCTAATTACAGCTGCTAGCCAGCTGATGTCTCAGAAGCTAAAAACAACATATAAAGCTTCCACTAGTAAGGTAACAGACAAAGAAATAATCTAGAGCTACATTTATTTTAAAAGCCTGGGAGAGTAGATTGAAAATCTTTGTCAGCCCTCAAGCTTTATTGTCAGCAAAAAACAGATGTCTAACTGTTGGCAGTGCTGAAGGAAAGCAACATGTTCTTCCTTTTATACTTTGCTGCTTTGATCTAGATTGTCTCAAGTTTCAAGACTCCTAACCAAGCAACCAGTATTGAATGTCACAGGACAAGAAGTTATGCTGGCCATAGAGATGGCGTGTGGGAGGTGTCCTGTGCTAGACACACACCCACCATGATTGGGACAGCATCTGCTGGTAAGTTGCATTTATTTATTTCAATTTAATCGGGGCTCCCTAAATGTGCCAAGATTTGAAGCTTAAAAGGATGTCCATCATTTGTGAAGTTTTGAACTTCAAAAAAATTTCTTAGTGAATTCACACTGTGGGATTTCCTTGAAAAATTTTACAGCATAGTATACATAAGCTTAACATCTGAATGATGATCGCACACTAAGGTTTTCTTGTTCAGAATCAGAATCATATATTTGAAGAGCATGCTTTCAATAAAAGGTATCGTGATAGACCTAAATAGTTATATGTAGTATGTATCCTTTATATATTGAATGTTCAATCCTTATGCCATGGGTGAAAGTATCTACTTATTAGCAAGGGTTGCAAAACATGTATGCCCCAAGAAAAGCATAAATGATGGAGGGCTAAGGTGATGTAGTGATGGGGAAAAGCATAATAAAGAGAGAATTAAGAAGTGTGTCTGCACCCTTGAAACTGCTAAGTGATGA